AATAAAAATAATAAAAAAATAAAATAAAATAAAAAAAGAAAGACAGGTTTTGTGAATTTAACTCCACTTAGACAAAAGCAAAACTCTTTAGGATTTGACAATCACTGAATTAAGTAAGCTTTTTCACTATGAATGTAAAAAAATCAAATGAAAAAACTGAGCAAGTGCAACAAAAATTGCAAAATATTTTATTAAAGATTTTATATACAACTAGGAATTACACTATATTTTTAGTTCTCTGATGATGGGACCCCTCTAATAATGTATTAATCACTTTGAATTTTGCATTACAACTGAAAATTGGCAATTGTTTACATTTATTAATACTCATTAAAAGCATTTCTACATTTAAGTAGCTAGATACAGGAGAAAAAATAGTTTGAATAAACCATTATTGTTCTTACTCTAAATCCCAATTTGGGGGTATATATCATATCAATCCAAATTATTCAATGTGCAGATATAAGTTCACCCATGTAGCAAAAATAACTTTGTTTACACTTTTACTAAAATCACAGCTTTTATAAAGGCTGTCCAAATGACAGTAGGATTGTGTGTGTGTTTGCTTTTGTGTATATGGCTTGATCATTGCACTTTAGGATCTTTGCAACCATTTTTCCCTCTGTAACAACTGCTACCTCTTGATTAATGGCCACAGTAAAGTATTGTTTGTTGTATAGCAATAGGCTTTTCTGTAACTCTCGCAAAGTAGAGATATATCTGTTAGATTTTTAGATTTGAATGAAAAACATTTCAATAAGAATAGTGTGTTCTTCCATTACTTAAAAAATGATAATAAAAACTATTATTTCAAAGTTAAAAAAAAGCATTTCTATGGATAGTAATGGAATATGAAATACACAGGAAAGCATATTCACAATTTTTAGGTCAGAAAATGACAAGAAAACATCCTTTGGCTATTACTATTCCTTTTTGTAGGAAGATAAAATGGTCTTATACATAATTTTATTTTGTCTTCAAAATGATTAGCTTTATCTCACAGGAGAAATATCTTGATAGGGAAATTAAAACAGAAGATAGAACTCAAGTTTCTGAATTTTGATACTTCAACACTTCTTCTAAAACATTTTAGACATGAAATTCTAAGCTAATATTAAAGGGTAAATGGGATGTTCAGTTTTGTATTTAACATATTATTTAATATACATATTTAATATTATCACTATGTGTCCATTTTCAAAAAACTGACGTGATATATTTTACCTACCCCAACAATCCGTTTCATAGCATCCAACTTAGCAGAATCTCTGTTGCTCTCCAACATTTGCTTGAGATCTTCATTCCTATAAAGAGAAGAGAAAAAATTCTATGTTTAGATTTTTATATTACATACCTATTAAATTATATCATTTTTCATAAGAATTAGAATGATGGGCAATGTTATATACCTGCATTCTTATTTCTAAATAAATATATATTTCTCATATAACCCTACAAAATAATGTCAAAGTGCTATGTTGTCATGAGTCCCATCAAGGAAACAAAAATATAAAATTACCTCAGTTCTGGGCAAAATCCTAATGTGAACACAAGCATACAAGCTCTTCTTTCATCCCCAAATTTTTTCTTAATGATCAGAAACAAGAAATAAGAAAAAACCTCCTGAATACAAACATGAGCAACTTTTTTCTGAATGCATTTCCTTGAGCAAGGGGAACAAAAGCAAAAATGAACACATGGGACTACATCAAACTTAAAAGCTTCTGTACAGCAAAGGACACCATCAGCAGAACAAAAAGGCATCCTACAGTATGGAGAATATATTTGTAAATGACATATCTGACAAGGGGTTAACATCCAAAATATATAAAGAACTCACATGCCTCAACAACTAAAAAGCAAATAACCTGATTAAAAAATGGGTGGAGGATATGAAGAGACAGTTCTCCAAAGAAGAAATTCAGATGGCCAACAGGCACATGAAAAGGTGCTCCACATCACTAATTATCAGGGAAATGCAAACAAAAACCACAATGAGATACCACCTCACACTAGTTAGGATGGCCAGTATTGAAAAGACTTAAGAAAAACAAATGCTGGCAAGGATGTGGAGAAAGAGGAACCCTCCTACACTGCTGGTAGGAATGTAAAGCTAGTTCAACCATTGTGGAAAGCAATATGGAAGTTCCTCAAAAATCTAAGAATAGAAATACCATTTGACCTGGGAATTCCACTCCTAGAAATTTACCCAAAGAATGTAATTTCTCAGATTCAAAAAGACATATGCACCCCTATGTTTATTGCAGCACTATTTACAATAGCTAAGATACCGAAACAACCCAAGTGTCCATCAATAGATGAATGGATAAAGAAGAGGTGGTACATATACACAATGGAATACAACTCAGTCATAAGAAAGAAACATATTCTACAATTTGCAACAACATGGATGGAGCTGGAGGATATTACGCTTAGTGAAATAAGCCAGGCAGAGAAAGACAAGTACCAAATGATTTCCCTCATTTGTGGAGTGTAACAATGAAGTAACACTGAAGGAACAGACTCAGAGACTCCAAGAAGGGACTAGCGGTTACCAAAGGGGATGGGATGGGAGAGGGTGGTAGGGGAGGGAGATGGGGATTCAGGGGTATTATGATAGGCACACATGGTGTGGAGGTGATCAGGGGGAAGACAGTGTAGGAGAGGGGGGGTAAATAGTGACTCTGTGGCATTTTACTACACTGATGGGCAGTGACTGCAATGGGGTGTGGGGGGGACACGAAAGCATGAGTGGATGTAGTAACAACATTGTTTTTTCATGTATATCAATAATACCTTAATAAAAAAATTCAGCCTATACATATTGCAAAATACAAGAAATCATCTTCAGAGCTTTTTCAAGGGTGTGGCCAGAAAATCATTTGATAAAGAAATCATGGGTACCACTCATGGATATAATCATACATCTCCACAGAAATCAGGAGTAGAGATGGGATTATATCAAAATAGACACTGCCAGCTTGGACTAAAGTGGAAAGAGGGCACAAAAATGAAGGAAGGCTATCAGGCTTTTGGGATTCTACAGGACAGGACAATGTGAGGACACAAAGAGAAACAGCTGAGGAGAAGGGGCCTCACGAGAAACCAAACCTGCCAACACCTCGATCTGGAACTTGAACCTCTAGAGCAGTGAGAAATAATGTGTAGTGATAAAGCCACCCAGTCTGTGGTGTTCTGTTATAGCAGACCAGCAAACTAATACAGACATCAACAAACAATTCACCTAAGGAGATACATAAATGGCAAAAAAGCACATGAACAGATAATCAACTTAACTATTAGGGAAAAGCAAATTAAAACCACAGCAAAATATCACTACTCAAGATCAGAATGGCTCTCATCTAAAATAAAAATATATGACAACACCAAATGATAGTGAGGACACAGAGGAAGTGGATCACTCATACCACTGGTGGCAACATAAAAGGCTATAGCGTCTTTGACAGTTTGGCAGTTTCTTATAGAACTAAACTTGCAATTACTATACAACCCAACAATTATACTCTTAGTTGTTTATCCCAAGGAAATGGAAATGTATACTCACACAAAAATCTGTTCACAAGTATTCATAGCAGTTTTACTCCTATTAGCCAAAATGCAAAGAATCCAGATGTCCTCCAATGGATGAATGATTCAACAAACTGTGGTACATCCATAGGAGAGATACCACTCAGCAGTAAAAAGAAACAAATTATTGATACATATGACAACTATGACTAATCTCCAAAGAAGTATGCCTAGTGAGAAAAGTAAATCCTAAAAGGTTACATACTGGATTATTCCATTCATATAATATCCCTGAAATAACAGAATTACAGAAATGGAGAAAGTTTAGTGGTTGCTGAGGATTATGGTTAAAAAAAGGAAGGGTGGATATAAAAAGGCAATACGAGAGGATCCCTGTGGTGATGGAACTAATGGCTACATGAACCTGAACATGTGATAAAACAGAATAGAGCATGTATGCTCCCCCCCACATTCAGTATAGAAAGCACAAGTAAAACTAGGGAATCTAAACAAGATTGGAGGATTTTATCAATGTCAGTATCCTGGTTGTGACACTGTACTATAGTTTATCATTAGGAAAACTGGATAGACAGTACACAAGATAGCTCTGTATTATTTCTTTAACTGCACATGAATCTATAATTATCTCAAAATCAAAAGTTTAAGAAGTTCTATAATAATTATAACTCATTTATAAGAAGACAATCCAATCCAAAAAAAAAGAGTCAAAAGATTGGAACAGACAATTTACAAAAGATTAAGAATACCAATAAGCACATGAAAACATACTTAAAATCATTAATTATCAGGGAAATGCAAAATTAAATGAGGTATCAACTACACACCCATTAGAATAAACTAAATTAAGAGAGTGACAATAATAAGCATTGCCAAGGCTGGTGAGAAATGAGAACTCACAAACTGTTGGTGGAAATGAAAAAAAACAACTCTGGAAAACTGAAGATTCTTACAAATTTAAACATAAACCTACCATGTAACCCAGTCATATAATTCCAGAGAAATAAAAATACATTTCCACATAATGATTTACATGAATATTCTTAGCAGCTTAGCAGAATATTTATAACAGTAAAAAACTGGAATATAAATGTCCATCAGTAAGATTTGATTTTAGTCAGAATACTACCCAGCAATGAAAAAGAATTAACTACTAATACATGCAATAAGATGGATGAATTCTCAAAATCATTATGCTGAGTGACAGAAACCAAACACAAACTAGCATGACTTAATTCATTTCAAATTCTAGAAAATGCAAACTGATCTGTAGTGACAAAAAGCAGATTCGTGGTATTCAGAGAATTGATAACTCTGAGGTTCAGAGAAAAAAGACAAGAAATAAAGAAGGCAGTGTTTCAACCTGATGTAATATGCAACTTTTCACAGATATGTCAAAGACCTATTGAAAATTCTGATACAAATTACATATTTCTTGCCCAATTCCTCTTTGCTTATCACCATAAGGTTCAGTATTTGGGAAAGGTAACACCCTGATACCCAGTTTACCTTCAAAATATGTTCACTTCTGTTGAGTCATTTTAGGTCTACCTCCATCATTACTGGATTCAAACATGTCCTATTAACATGTATTACTACATTAAAAATGTAGAACATAAATTCTTTTGCTAAACATCAAAAGAGTGATTCAAAATAATGCTGAATTGGCAATATTTTCATTGACTCTTTGCTGAAAACCAATACTTGTTTCAAATACGCTTTTTAAAAATTTAGTTCTTCATTTTACCTATTTATTTGCAACTTTATTTTTACATAAGTGACATCTTGTGGTGCTAAGTGGTATAACTTTTCATTTCAAGTTCAAAATATGACTTTACCGTTTCAAAGAACAGAGAAAAATATGTAACTGGAAGGTTAAAGAAAATACCATTAAGTCACTCTTATTTCAGCACCAGTATAAGGCAGCAATTATAATCCCAAAGCAAAATTTTCCCAGCTATGTGTGTCAAAAAGGAAACCTGCTGGCCTAAGACGGAGTGCAGAGCCAGGTCAACAAATCGGGCTTAATGCCTAGCCTAACTGCATTTTCAACCTCCCATAGAAATGTAGTCTTGGTTAACCAGGAATTTTCTGGCCAGCGCCAATGAGGTAATATGTTATATGAACCCTCTCCATCACCCAAAAAGACTAAGGGTTCTTCATGATAAGACCTCCCTCACTTCTTCCTAAGGGAAGGCAACCTTGCCTAAAACAATCTCTTCTTTTCTTTTGCTAAGAACTTTTTGCCCTACTGTCCTGGCTATGAAAACCTTCCGTTCTGAGTAATTCCTCAGAGCATTTCTCTGCTTGATAGATGGGATGCTGTCCATTCATGAATCATTTAATGAAGTCAATTAGTCTTTAAGTTTACTGGGCTGAGTTTTGGTTTTTAACAAATACAAGAACTTAGGAGGTAATAGGGCTTTTATATAGTATAAATACTACATAGTACATATTATTAGGTAGTATAAAATACAGTATTAATTACCCCTTTTTAAAAAATCTATAGTCCATAATTCATTAAAACTCTGCACTCCTTTTAAAGACAATGTAAATTAAGGGAAAAATTAAGACTATGTTTCAGTGCTGCTCAAAGTATGAGTTCAACAGTGTAATTTTGTATCTTCTGAATATAATTTTAAAAACTAGGGCTTGCATTTTGCATGATTTTTTTTCATTTCATTTTTCTAGCAGCTTATTTGTTATTCTGTTATACAGTAGTACCCACCCATGATGGACTAGAAATTTAAAAGGGAGA